GCGCAGCCGCGCTGCGCGCCCCCCCGCCCCCGCCCCCGCTCCCAAGCGCCCCTTCCCCGGTAGGTGTGCGGAGAAAGTAGAACCAATCGAGAGGTGGCAGAAGCCGCCGTGTGTGACACATATTGCGGCACGTGAGAGTGAGACAGAGCCCCGGCAGCGGCCAGCGCGCGCGCGCGCAGCGGCCAGCGCAACAGGCGGTTTCAAACAGCAAACGGGACGGCCTGCGCAGCCTCTAACTATTTTGGTTTATCAGTAACCAGCCTCCGGCGGGGCCCCCCGCTACCATCCAAACCCGAGTACCGGTCTACTATCATAGGTAGAGGCTCAAGTGTGACATATAAGTCCACACCCATATACACATGCACAAAGCAACTCTCACGGCACACGGGCACCGGGTGGAGCGGCGGCGGCGGCGGCAGCAGCACGCGCGGGCGGACGGATTCGGACGGGGCGGAGCAGCGACCGCCTGGGCGGCCGCTCGTGCTCTGTCTGCCAGAGCGCGCCGTCTGCCTGCGCAGCTCGAGCGCGGTCAGGTGCGAGGACGCTGGCGGCGCGGGGAAACGCGGCGGCGGTGGCGGCGGCGGCGGCGGCGGCGGCAGCGGCACGCGCGGGCGGACGGATTCGGACGGGGCGGAGCAGCGACCGCCTGGGCGGCCGCTGCTCTGTCTGCCAGAGCGCGCCGTCTGTGCGCAGCTCGAGCGCGGTCAGGTGCACAGGGAAGCGTGGCGGCGCGGGGACGCGCGGCGGCGGTGGCGAGCAGGCGAGCGGCCCGCGCGCGGCGAGGCGGACAGGTGATCGGCAGGCGGGTGATGGGCCGGAGAGTGACCGCGCCCAGCGATCGGAGCGAGCCGATCGTCGCTCGGCCGCAGCTGACCTCGAAGGCGTGCGGAGCGCGACTGTCGGTGTCGGGGGGCGGCCGTCATGTGGCGAGGAGGGAGGACGACAAGTGCGCGTCGTACGGGTCGCTCTTCATCGGCCAGTCGAGCGGCACTCAAGTCGAGACCGAGCATGGGCGACGAAAAGCCGGTGGGGCCGGTGGGAGGTAGGACGAGATTCGTTTCGCGCTTTCAAAAGCGGCTTCGCGCGCAGCGCAACTTTGGGTTTGCCACGAAAAAGCGTCCCCAGTGGAAATGGGGGCTACTGGGGCGGCCAATTCACACCTCGCGGGACTACTTATGTTTTCGTAAACGTAGTCGTGGCCCCCCGCTACGTCGCACGAGTGCAACCGGGTAGCGGGGGGCTAAAAGAAAGAATCGTAGTCACCCTCGCACAACACTGGCACGGGACTGGCGCGCACTGGCACTAACACAGGTACACCACGGGAGCCGCCGTAAAAGAAAGAACTTGAATCAGGATGTCTCTCGTCGTCTCTCTGCTCCTCGCTCGGCCGGGCGGCGGCTCGGGTGGTGCGGAGGCGCCGCCGCTGCGCGTGCGCGCGCACGAGGCGGCGCTGGAGCACGCCTGCTGTCGCCGCCACGGCCCGACGCCCGGGGCCGGACGTCGAGCCGGACAAACTTTTGGCGAGGACAGACCGAGCATCTTCACCGAGCCGACCCGCTCTCCTGCGACGAGCCGCGGGAGGGGGGCTCGTGTGATCCGGCCGGAGCGGCGGCGCGTGGCGCACACACGCCCCGCTCGCCCGCGGCCGCTGAGGCATAGCACTATTACACGCCAGGAAAAGAATTCGCGATTTCATACAACCTCGCCCTGTTCGCCACTGGATCAACAAACCCCTCCGAGCAGCTTTCAATGGATCCATTCGCTGAGCTGGGTTGCCTCGCAGCCACGACGCTCTCTAGCCCAGGCGGAAACGGCAACGGCGAAGACTCGCCAACGGGATGGGTTAGCGGCAACCCGCAGGGTGGCGGCGTGGGTAGCGGGAACGGCGGCGGCGGCATGGGTGGCTTGGGTGGCTTGGGCATAGGCGGCTGTGGCATGGGCGGGGCGGGCAGCTGCGGGATCGGCGGAATGACTGCGGCCTCTCCGCAAGAGCAAGTTGTCCCGGCGGCGAAATCGGCCGGCCAGCACTACGAAGGCTACCAGACCGGCTACCAGCCGCAGAGCCTCGAGCAGCCGCCACACGGATATCCGCCGCAGGGGTTATTTGTGGAGCAGCCGGGCGACGACGCCATCGGCAGCGGCTCCAGCATGCCCCTGGCTTCGGACCTGGCCTCGGAGCGGCGGACGGAGATGGCGGGCGGAGAGCCGTCTCCTCTCCGCTCGACGCCACCGCAGAAGCTGGAGCCACGGCCGCAACAGCAGCTGGCGCCCGACGCCACACTCGCCTTTGCGGCCCTCGCGCAGGGGCGGCCCTGCCTGCCCCGGCAAGCACAGCTCGCGCGCCCCTCATCCATCTCGAGCGCGGAGCTTCCCCTAAGCCGTTGCAGAGGCTTCTCCTTGTAGGCATGAGCTGCTGCACTCGCTCCGCCACCTCTGCCTCGCCGCCGAACTGCCGGCGCACGCTGCGGGCGACCCGTGGGAGAGAAGATGTAGATGCTGAAGGCGTTGCGGAAGTAGCACTCGAGACGGCACGTATTTCCTTCCTCAATGTGTACCCCTCTCTTGGATGTTCAGATCACTGTCTTCGTAGCTGCCGCGTCAGCCCTTGGCTATCACAGTCGCACTTTCGTCCACGGGGTGGCCCAGAAGGCGGGCGCCAGGGGGGGGGGAGGGGGGGGGGGTGAAGTACTTGCCTTCAGTCCCTAGTCTGCACACACTAGGAGAGCGGTCCGCCGATCGACGCAGACTCCTTTGGGCGCCTCGCCGCCGCCGCCGCCGCCTTCATCGGGGCGGGAGCGCTCCCCGACCTAACGCCTGCTCAGCAGCAGCAGCTGGGGCAGTGGCGGGAGGGGATGCCAGAGGCGGCGGCGGCCGCAGTGGCCGCGGCGGCGGCGGCGGCGGAGGCGGCGGCGGCGGAGGCGGAGGCGGCAGCACAGGCGGTGGTGGACGCGCAGGCGCAGCAGCAGCAGCAGCAGCAGCAGCAGCCGCAGCCGCAGCCGCCGCAGCCGCCACAGCAGCCGCAGCAAGCGTTCGCCATGCAGCCGATGGTGCAGGCGCTGTCTTCGCCGTCGCAGGCTTGGCCGCCGCACACCCGCGAGGCGCCCCAGCCAGCGGCGTGCGCCCCTGGCGGCGACACACACGGCACCCAAGCCACGCCGATGGCTGCGTCATTTGGCACTGTTGCAAGCGACCCGTTTGGCGCGTTGCAGCCACCGCCGGCGTGGCAACAGCAGGCGCCGTCCTCGCAGCCGCCCGCGCCGCCCCACGCGCCGCAGCAGGCCGCCTACCCGCAGCCGCCGCAGGCACAGCCAGCGCCCCCTGCTCCTGCCGGTTTCCTGAGCAGCTACGAGACGCAGGCTCTGCCCACTGCTTTTGGCACGTCCTTTGGAACCTCCGCCCCGCCCGCGCCGGCGCCAGCGCCTGGGTTCGATTCCTTCTCCGCCCCGCCCGCGCCGGCGCCAGCGCTTGGGTTCGAACCCTTTCCCTCACCGCCCGCGCCCGCGCCGTCGCCTGGCTTCGATTCCTTCTCCTCGCCGCCAGCGCTTGCGCCGGCACCCACGACCGGCTTCGCCTCCTTCGGCGCTAGCACCTTTGGCGGGCCGCCGCATGCGGTGGCGCCGGCACCGGCGCCACCGCCGCCGCCGCCGATCGTTGCGATGGGCGGCCCCGAGTACGCGCGGTACGTCCAGCTCTTCCACTCGCTCTGCCGAGGAAGCTGGGCCATCAGCCGCGCGCAGGCGGAGCCCACCTTCAGCCGCGCAAGGTGTGCGCCAAGCCTGATGCGGAGGCCCCCGCATTTGTAGTTCAAGTAGCTCTCGAGGGGGTAGGTCTTGCTGGCTGTGCTGCCGCACTCTCTCGCAGCACTTGCACACCTCTTGTGCGCTCTCCCGCGATGCGCGCGCCGAATCCTAGCCCTGTCTCTGGACGGTGCTTTCATGAGCTCCCCATACCTCCCCATGTCTACCCATGTCTCCCCAACCTCAGACCGCAGGGATCATCCTGACGTAGGCTCCCAAGCGAAGACATTGACGCCGTGTGGGCGCTGTGCGACACCGACGGCGACGGCTACCTCGCGCGCAATGAGTTCGCGGTCGCCCTGCACATTGCCGCGGCGCGCTACAAGGGCGCGGCGATGCCGCTGCAGCTACCCTCGGGTCTGCTGCCACCGGCGGCGGAGGCTGCGGAGGCGGCGGCGGCAGCACAGGCGGTGGTGGACGCGCAGGCGCAGCAGCAGCAGCAGCAGCAGCAGCAGCAGCAGCAGCAGCAGCAGCAGCAGCAGCGGCCGCCGCCGCCGCCACCGCCGCCGCCGCCCCCGCCATCGTACCAGGAGCAGTACCAGCAGCCGCAGCAGACGCAGTACCAGCAGCCGCCCTCTAGCTACGAGGACTACAGCCGCCCCGCCGGATACGACGACGAGGACAGCTCCCTGCAGAAGAAGGGCCGCCGCCTGAGCGTCGCCGGCGCCGCCTCCGCAATCAAGTTTGGACACAAGAGGGGCTCCAAGATGGCGCCGGCGCCGCCGCCGCCGCCGCCGCCGCCGCCGCGCGAGCACTGGGCGCCCCCCAACCCCAGCGGCGGCGCTACCGGAGAAGGAGGCGGCGGGGACGCCGAGCACGTCCACCGCTCGGGCCTGCTGAGCGCCAACAAGAGCAAGCGGTGGTGCGTGCTGAGCGGAGGCAAGCTCGACGTCTTCGACAAAAAGGTGCGTGGCGGGAGGCCGCCGGGCGCCGGCGGCGCAATCTTCCAAGCTCGCCGGCTCCCTCCCTCCGCCCCCCCTCCGCTCAGATCGCGTCCCCCCCCCTGCTCGGCCCACAGGCGGATCACACCAAGCCACCAAAGATGAGCCTCGACCTCCGCGCAGACGTGAGCCCGAGAGAGGGAGCCCACAGAGGGCCACCGGGAGAGAGGGGCGAGAGATGGCCGAGAGGAGAGGGCTCCGGCGCAGCCGAACGCGCCTGCCGCCGCGGTTGTTGTTCCCAGCGAAGCCCGCTCTCGCCCGGTGCGCAGGTCAGCAAAGTGGCGCGGAGCGACCTCAAATCCTTCAAGCTCGAGCTCCACCCTGGCTCGCGGCATGCCAAGGCGGCCAAGAGCGCCGGAGGCAGTGCGAGCCTCCTCTTCTCCTCGGACGACAACACGGAGATCTCGAAGTGGGTGAATGACCTGACCAAGGTGGTGTCGGGGCTGCATGGCGGCCACTGAGAAGCCTGGGGAAGACTGGCGCGGGCGTGTGAGGGTGTGGGTGAGTGGGTGGCCGGGCGCGCGCGCCAGCAGTTGAGGCGAGCACGTGCGCTTCAGCGTGAGCGAGACGCGTGGAAGAGTGTCACACCGTCGGATAAACCGACTTGACTATTACATTTCCGTCTGGCGGAGTTCTCTTGTGGGGAAAAAAGGCGGCACGAACACAAGCCCGCGGTGTTGAGTGTGGACGGATACTAGCCTCACGAACGACCAAAAATGTCTCTCTTGCTTGCGCGCTCTCTCGTCTCCATCCATGGCGCCGCCTGCACGGTACCGTGCACCGCTGCACGTCCATCCACGTGTGCAGCCAGCCACCGCACACCCTCAGTCGCCGAGAGGTGCCCCCAGCCTCTCTCACGCCGCCGCCGACGCACCGTCGTCCGCCGTGCCCTCCGCCGCCCCCACGACCGCCTCGTCGGCCTCCGGCTCGGCGACCACCTCGCACGCGACCCTCTCCGCCTTCTTGCTGCGCGGCGAGAGCACCGAGATCGGCCGGTGGATCGTGCCGAGGACGGAGGCCGCCTTGCCGAGGTAGGACCCCCTCTTCTCCGCCGCTAAAGGGGCCACCCCGCCCTCGCCGGCCTCTCCCGAGGTGGGAGCCTCTGCCGAGGACGCCTCGCGCTCACGGGCGCTGACGCCCAGCAGGCCCGCCGGCTCGACCGCGGCGTGGAAGGCCTGCTGGAAGCGCCACACCTCGTTCTCGTCCGGCGGCGAGAAGGTGTACGCCTCGTGGTTCGCACCGACGCCCGCGTGGTACTTTTCGGCACCCCACGCGGTGAAGGACACCTGTGGTGCGCGAGGGCGGGCGCGGGCGGGAAGAAGTGTAGGAGGTCGAGGAGGCGCGTGAGAGTCGCAGAGGCGGGCCAGAAGCGCGGGAGGACTCCACCTTGAGGCAGCGCTTGTGTGCGGTTGGCGCTCCCTTGTCGCGCGACTCACTGAAAAAGCCGATCTGCAGGAGGTGCGGCTCCTCGGCGTCGATCGCCGGCGGTACGAGGAGCGGGGCCACGCCCTTGAGCTCCTCGCCCTCCACATCGAGCCACTCCAACCAGCCAGGGTACAGACGAATCAATCGCTTGCCCCAGCCACTCTTGCCGGCGACTGTGCCGACCACAGGCACTGTCGCCCGCTTGAGCTTCTTCCACGCGAGGCCCTCCCACAAGACCAGGCCGCGCCCGCAAACTCCAATTTCCGCCTCAACCGGAACCGCTCCGTCCACCAGCAGAGAGCGGTCGACGCCCGACCGGGCGACGAGCATGGAGAGCTTGCGGTGCTGTGCCGCTGGCCCGGAGAAGGAGCCCTTGAGCGACATCTCGTCTTCATCGTCGGTGTTCCTCTCATCACTCACCAGCGGCCCGGTGCACCGCACGCACCTGGCCGCCCAGGCGCAGCATGCCTCGGGCAGCACCATCAAAAGCGGTAAGCGACAAACCGGGTCGGATTGCGGACGTGCCGGGCACGCCAAGAAGAAATTTTCGCTGGGTTTGCGGACTCCGGGTGTTCGGTTTTTTTGTGAATTCCTACCCTGCTCTGTGCCGTTGTCAATGGGTTAGGAAGCCACCGGCAAAAGAATTTGACCATCCTCCCTGAATGGTGAAGTCCACTTGGGTTGCCCTTGGGTGGGGACCCGATGTTCGCTGCCAAGAGACACCGCAAGAATCTTAAAATACAAGCCTCTCTCACAGCACACTGGCACGACAAGGGCGCAGACTGGCGCGGACTGGCACACACACCGGCACACCACCGGAGCCGCCTAAGCGACTCCGTTAAGAACGGCAATGCACTCCGCACCGTGTACAATGCCGCTCTCCCCGCACGCTAGCTCGTTCACCGTCTGCCACGCCACAGCGGTGTGGAGGACGACGGACAAACGCTGCATCTGCAGGCCGTGCCAATTCTAGGGCGGTGTCGAGAGCCCGCTCGGCCTTCTCGACAGCCGCCGCTGCAGCCTGGATAGCGCTCGCGGAGTCGGCCGCGGCCGCCATTGTCTGTTGGTGCCCCTGCTGGGCAAAGGCGAGGCGGGCCTCCGCGTCGCCGATTCTGCTCTGCGGAGGAGCGCACAAAGAGGCAGCGCCTACGGCCTCCAACCCCACGCCCCCGTGCGACAGGCCCTCTCAACGCGTATGTCGTCCAGGCGACGGAGGAGCTTGCTGCCGAGGCGGTGCCCCGCGGGCTTGGGGTCTCGCTGCACTTCGCCCATGAGACCGCGCCGGGTCGGCTAGTTGCGATGCAGCGCCTCGCCCACCTCTCTGGCGCAGCGTACTTTCACGCGGGGCGCTGGCCACAGCGTTGCGGCCGGCGGCAGGTGCGTGCACACGCCCGCATGCTCTGCGGTCGCTCCTCGTAGGTGCGGCCTCAACGTGCACCCACCTTCGGTCCATGGCACGCGCATTCCCCTCAACGTCTGTGTGTGGTGGACGGGCAAACCCCTTGAGAGCTGCCGTCCGCCCGTAGGCACGCCTACCGTTCGCTCGTGGTTGTGGCTGCCGACGGTCTCCCCCGGCGAGGCGCGCACTGCTCGCTCGCTCCTCTGCCCCGACCATAGTGCCGTGCCGTGACCAGGCGTGGAGACCGCGGGGCCGCCTCCCAATCCGAGCAGCAGCGAGGCGGTCGCAGCAGCTGAGGCGGCTCTCCCTTGCCGCGACGATCGACCCCACGGCGACCAACACACGCGAGGAGCTCGTTGGCCGGCGCCGAGAGAAGCGGCGGAAGGCGAATTGGTGGTTGCGACGAAGAGAGGGTTCCCTCTCAATGTAGGTACGGGAGGCGTGGCGGCTGTGGCAGCGCGTGAGACAGTGTGTGAGCACGCCCGAGTACGACGCGTGGAAGTACCCCGATGCGTTCGACGAGTACCACTTCAGCCACAGCCCGGCGCTGCTGAAGGGCTGGTTGGGTAGCGGACGCGCCGCCGCGGGCGACGGTGTGTGTAGGAATCCTGTACTGACTTGTGACTATTGTGTCTGTCAGTGAAGTCAGTACTCTGTGTGTCTGTGTGCACGCGCAATGTCGAGTTGGGGGGCCCACACCAGGGCATGTGTGTGTGCGGGCCGGCTTATCCTATACCGGCTCCGGTGCCCGCCCCCGCCTTCGGAAATGCAATTTCCGGGACTTGGAAGTTGAAGTCCCACACGCTTTTCTTTACCTCCCGGCGCGGAGCGGACTTACGGGGGGTGGACCCTGAGTTGACCAGCGGTTGTGCGCTGGGCCCTCCTGCTCGGCTCCAGCCAGTAGACAAGTCTTGTCATCAACAGAGTGGAAGGATCTGACCTCGGGGCCGATGTGACCAAGCGCTGGTAGCGTGGTTTAACCTCACACCCATGGTCTCACAGTGTGCCGGCAGTCGCCGAGCAGTGTCGCTCACACAAGCCGCAGCACAAGTGACTGAGGGCCAGTGAGGGCGAGCCCATCGCTGTCACAGCTGTGGCAGCCGCACAGTGGGCTGTGCTATCTGTGCAGAGCGTGTGAGCAGCAGTGGAGCTGCTCTCCAGGCTTCAGGCGCAAAGAGCTGCATGCCACCGAAGGCGCTGTCGAGGTTCGCCGAGCGCGGCGCAGGTTGGGGGACACCGTCACCGACGAGTGCGTTGGACTTTTCACTCCGGACAAAGACAGTGGCACGCGCCGCTGCGCGGTGCGTGTCCCCGTCATAGCGGCGAGGCGCGGGACCGTCTGTGGCGAAGTAGATCGCGTCCCCCGATTTCCTCAACTCACGGTCCACACCCTCTAGCGGCCAGGCGTTGGAGGCCGAGGAGATGCGGTTGATGTGGCTGAGGGAGGGGGCGAGCCTGCTCCGCAGGACGCCACGCCCCTCGGGGCGAAGAAGGCGGGCAAGCGTGCAGCGGAGGCGGCGCGCAGGGCCCGGGGTGGGCGTCGTAAGGGTGAGTGAGGGCGATCGATTGCCGCCTCCCCCCTTCGTTCGCCCACCTCGACGCCTTCGTGTAGGCGCCCCCGCGACTGTGCCTCTTTTGGTACTGTGGCGTACCTGTGTCGAACCTGTGTGCGAGAGAGAAGGGATTCTATTTGAATTCTTTACCTCCCTACCGGGTACCCCGTGCGGGGGTGGCCTCCTCCGCTCCTCCAGCACGCCCTCATGCCCGGCCGAACCGGCACTGGCAAAGGGCGCGCAGTTGCTTCAACGGCGTCACAGGCTGCGTCGCTCGCGATCCCGAAAAAGATCGAGACAGCGGCGGCGAACGGCAAGGCGGGCGTGGTGCAGACGTGGCTCGCCGGGGACGGGCAGGTTGACGCGACGTGCGTGCATCGCGGCGTGAGTGGCTGTACGCTCCTGCTGATCGCCGCCGGACACGATCACAAGCAGCTGGTCGAGGTTCTGCTGAAGCGGGGCGCGAAGGTGAACGCGAGAGACAGCAACGGAGTCACGGCGCTGATGGCCGCGGCCATCAACCACCACGTGCAGGTGGTCGAGACGCTGCTGCAGCACGGCGCGGAGATCAACCTTCAGGACAGCGTCGGCTGCACCACGCTGATGCTGGCCGCCGACCAAGGCTGCGAGCGCGTGGTCGACTTGCTTCTGCGGCACGGGGCAGAGGTCGACCTGCAGGACGTTAGCGGCTGCACTGCGCTCACGGGCGCCGCCGACTACGGCCACCCTGCCGTCGTGCTCCAGTTGCTGCGGGCGGGCGCAGACATGGCGCTGCGCACTGCGGGGGGCAAGACGGCGCTGCAGATCGCCAAAGAGAAGGGTCACACCGAGTGCGTCGCCGCCGTCAAGACGTTTCTTGGCGAGGTGGCGGCTAAGAGGCGCGACGCGGCGGCGGTCGAGGCGGGCGGCGCGGGGGCGGACGGCGATGCCGCCTCGGGCAAGGGGGCGGCGGCGGCACCAACTGCCGCGCCCGTTTCTGGCCGCGTGGAGAGCGGAACGGGCGAGGACGCCGTCCCCGAGGAGGTCGTGGAGGCGGCTGAGCAAGGCGAGGAGGCGGCGGTGCTGACGTGGCTCGACGGCGGCGGGCGGGTGGATGCGACTTTCACTGTTGCGGGTGTGAGCGGCTTTACGCTGCTGGTGTACGCCGCCCTCTACGGCCACGAGCGGCTGGCCACGACGTTGCTGCAGCGTGGCGCCTCGATCGACCTGCAGAGCAGCGACGGCATCACCGCACTGATGGGCGCCGCCTACACAAACCACCCCGCGGCCGTACTCTGCCTGCTGCGGGCGGGCGCCGACATGGAACTGCGCACGGCGAGTGGACGCACAGCGCTGCAGCTTGCCAAGAAGGAGGGCAGCACCGAGTGCGTGCGCGCCCTTGAGGAGCATGCGGCGGCCGAGGCGGCGGCCGAGGCGGTGGCGAAGGAGGCGGCGTGGGCTGCGGAGGCGGCGGAGAGGGCGGCGGAGCGGGCGGCGGCGGAGGCGGAGGCGGCGCGGCACGCCGAGGAGCTGCTGGCGGAGGTCGAGGCGGAGAAGCGCGGCAAGGGCAAGGGCAAGAAGAAGAAGAAGGGCGGTGGGAGCGGCGCCGTTGGGCCGTCGCAGGAGCCCGAGGCGGCGGTGGAGGGTGCAGAGGCGCCATCAGAGGGTGCCGAGGTGCTGTCGGAGGCAGCCACAGCCGAGGCCGCAAAGAAGGCCGAGGAGGCGAGATTGATCAGGCTTCTCGAAAGTTGTCACGAGGAGAGGATCCGGCTCGGCATCACGGCGGAGAGCCAGGCAGCGGCTTTAGCTGAGATGGTCGAGGCGGAGCGCTTGGCCGAGGAGGCGGAGGAAGAGGAGGAGGAGGCAGAGGCGGAGGAGGAGGAAGCCGCGGCCGAGGAGGAAGCCGCGGCCGCGGCACTTGCGGCAGCTGAGGCGGCGATGGCCGCCGCAAAGGCGAGGCGCGCGGCCGCTGCGAAGGCCAAGGCAGCCGCTGCAAGGAAGGCGGCGGACCCTGCTTGCCCGGCAGGATCATAGGGATAGCATCCCGAAGGGATCCCATCGACGCACGCGAAACACATGCATGCGGCGCAAGCGCCGCATGCATTCTGCGACGGCTCTGGCGACGGCTCTGGCGACGGCTCGGGCGACGGCTCGGGCGACGGCTCGGGCGACGGCGGCGCAAACGGCACCACACCCCCTCTGGTGCGAGCTGTGGCCCGCGATGCCAGCGGCCGGCACGTCGGATTATCCGGACAAACGGCAAGCCTCACCCGCACCGCCGCAGAGAACACGCCCACACACGCGCGCCTCCACGCATGGTGCCTGCGCGTGCGTCGCCGGTTCTCATATGACCCGCTGTGAGTGTTACGAAAGTCGCGAAATTGCTGTTCGTCGGACGAATTTCTTCATCATTTTTCACGAAACGTAACGAGTCGCCTTGCGCGTTTCCTGCATCCTCGCGGGAGTCGCTTAGGCGGCTCCCGTGGTGTACCTGTGTTAGTGCCAGTGCGCGCCGGCCCCGTGCCCAGTGAGCAGTGTTGTGCGAGGGCGGGTTGTTAAGTTCTTTTTCCGTGTTAGTGCCAGTGCGCGCCAGCCCCGTGCCCAAAAAGAAAGAAAACAGACAACCCAAGGGAGGGATGGGAGAACGGCACGCCGCCACCAGAAAGAAAGAAAGAAAACAGACAACCCAAGGGAGGGATGGGAGGACGGCACGCCGCCACCACACAGGGATTTTAAGGAGAGGAGTGTGATGCGCTAGCCGTCGCCCACCCTAGGGAGTCTGCCTCTTCCTATCTCTTTTCGCAGTCTCTCGCCGATTCTCGCTGCAACCTTCATGCCACCTCGCGGCCGTCCCACTCTCGTCGTTCTCTCCCTTGTCATTTCCTCCTCTGTCGCGTCATTCTCTTCTGCCTCGTCCTGCGCCGCCGCCGCCTGCCGGTCCCTTGTTCTCTCGGCTTCTTTCGCCTTTCGGCGCAGCTCCGCCCTCCTTGCTCGTTGTGCGAGGGCGGGTCGTTAAATTCTTTTTCCGCGCTGTCCCCCAGGCCCACACCCCCGGCCATCGTGGCCTCCAGGACACTCTCCAGGACACTACCGTCGCGACGGTATCTGCATATGCAGCAGGGCCTCCCAGAGAGCCTCGCCGCCAGCCTCGTCAGGCTCCGAGCCGTGCGGCAGCATCGTGCCGTCCGGCCAGGCCCCGAGTTCAACTCGTGCGTGGATGCGGTTGAGAGCGAAGTCACGCAGGAGGTGACCCGTTTGCAAGACGAGCTGCAAGAGCAAGGCCGAACGCTGGCACAGCTCAGCTTCAGGCCCGACGTCAAGCTGCTCTCTCTCGACGAGCAAGCCGTCCCTGCGCTGCGGCACGTGCTCACAAGCAACTCGCGCGTCCTGGAGCGCATGTTCGCCGCGCACACTGCCGAGGCTCAGAGTGGCACCATCAAGACGGAGGCGACGCTCTCTGTCCTCGAGCACGTCATGAAGTCGCTGCACTGCGCGGCCTGCGCAAACGACGAGGCGGATGCGGTCGTCCTGCTCGGCGCCTGCGAGCTCGCGGCTCGGTGGGAGCTCGGCGCAGTGTTTCGCTCCACAGCGTCTGCCCTGCGAAACAACTTGGACGCACGCTCGGCGGCGCTGGTCCTCGCCGCCGCCGACAAGCACGTTGAGGCTGACGCCACGAGCGCAGGCTGGCAGAAGCTGCGCGAGGATGCCGCGGCGGCGCTTGCACGCCTCATGCCGATGGGCGCGCTGCAGCCCGCCTTCAAGACGCTGGGCCTCAGCTCCATCCTCGAGGTTGTCAGCCACGTCAAGGAGGACACGGTGACCGTGCCGAACCTCGACATTGACATCACGTCGCCCGGCTACACCGGCAGCCAAACCGCTTTCGACGGCCCGCTGAGCAAAGACCTCTTCTGGCGGCCTCGCGACCGAGATGGAGTCAAGTTTGACGAGCACAGGCTCTATGCCGAGAAGCGCGACGATGGCTCTCTCGGCCTCTACATGAAGAACGTGGGGCACGTCACGGGCAAGCAGGTGGAGTTCACCATCAAAGCCAACAACAAGGAGTGGAGGGGCGACAACGATGCTGCGATGTCTACGTTGCCGGCGGGGCAGGGCTTGGGCTGGCATGAGTTCCTCCCCCCCCAGCAGATCCCGACCGCCGCCGTAGAGGGCAAGATCACCGTTCGCGGCACGGTGACCGTCCCCGCACGGCAGCGCAAGGCCGACGTCCTCAACATGTGGCTCCTCGCCACCGAGAGCGTCAACGAGCCCCTCGGCCCCGCCGAGCTGCTCCTCTGCTTGCGCGCGCACGCGTGCGACTTTAACGCCGCGGCCTTGAGCGGGTTCGTGTCACAGCCATCGCTGGATTCGGCTATATCGCCCACTATGGTGTATAGGCCGCCGACACGAACGCGCTCAAGGAGCAGCTCAGCGAGCGGGGGCTGGACACGTCGGGCGGCGTCAACACTCTGCGGACGCGGCTTCGGGACGCGATGCACGCGGCGCTGCCCGTGGCATCCCCGCCATCGCGGCTCCGCCATCTCGGCTCCGCGTGCCACGCGCTCGCCGAGCTGACGGCAGTGTTCCTCCCTAAGGCCGTCGCGGACGGCAGCCTGTTTGAGCTCGACGCAGCGTCCTTCTCGATGGTGCTCGCGCAGGACAAGCTCGTCGTGGCCAGTGAGAGCGCCGTCCTCGAGCACGCCCTGCGCTGGGCGTCGCGTGCGGGCCGCACGGAGGAGGTAGTGAGCCGCGTGATGCCGCTCGTGCGTTTCCCGCTCGTCTCACTGCTTCGCCCCTCCGCCGCGCTCAAGAGGCTGCAGCAGGCCAACGCGGTGGTGGCCCAGCTGATCAAGGAGGCGCTCGCGCTGCAGGTCAAGCCTGCGTCGGCGGTGGCGACTTTCGTGCCCACCAGGCACCGCCTGATCGAGGGCGTGCTGCCCGACGACACCGACGACGTGCCGCGCGCCAAGCGCCGCAAGTACTGCAAGGACGACAAGGTGGCGGCGGTGGACCCCGCCGAGGCGATCTTCGCCACTGCCTTTTGAGAGATGCAAGGTGGCGGCGGTATTGTACCATCATGTACCACAGATATAGACGGAGGTACGGTCGGAGATCCTTCTACTCTATCTACTGTCTTGTACGTAGCGTTTGGGGCAACTCTGTCTAGGACTAGGTGGTTTGTGGCATGTGGGCGAGATCGACAGATGCGTACACCGGGATCCAGCGTGCTCAAGAGCGGGAGAGGGGGGCGGGTGGGAGGGCTCTCGTAATGTTCGCCCGCCTCTTTTCATTTCTTCGCTGCAGCGTTTCTTTTTCTGGCAGATAATGAGCGGCCCAGCCGTCAGCCCCGCCGAGCTGGCGGTGGGCGACCTGGGCTCGCTGCGCGCCCTCCTCTCCGGGCGGCGGACGCGCGGCACGTCGCTCGCGGCCCAGCTCGACGCGCGGCTCGACACCGAGAAGCAAGACACGCTGCTCACCTGGGCCGCTCGCCACGGGCAAGCCGAGGCGGTGCGGCTGCTGCTCGAAGCTGGCGCGAGCGTCGGGGCGACGACGGGCGGCGGCCGCGGCGGCTCCGCGCTGTACATCGCGTGCCAGGAGGGCCACCTCGAGTGCGCCGCGCTGCTTCTCGAGGCTGGCGCGGCGGTCAACCAAGCCAACGCCAGAGGCGCCACGCCGCTCTTCATCGCGTGCCAGAACGGCCACGTCGAGTGCGCCCGGCTGCTCCAGCAGGCTGGCGCAGCGGTCAACCAAGCGATGGACGGCGGCGTCACGGCGATGCTCATGGCGTGTCAGAACGGCCACCCCCCGTGCGTCCGGCTGCTTCTCGAGGCCAGTGCGGCGGTCGGCCAAGCCATGAACAACGGCGTCACGCCGCTGTACATCGCGTGCCAGGAGGGCCACCTCGAGTGCGCCGCGCTGCTTCTCGAGGCTGGCGCGGCGGTCAACCAAGCCAACGCCAGAGGCGCCACGCCGCTCTTCATCGCGTGCCAGAACGGCCACGTCGAGTGCGCCCGGCTGCTCCTCGAGGCCAGCGCGGCGGTCAACCAAGCCAACACCAGAGGCGCCACGCCGCTGTACGTCGCGTGCAAGCGCGGCCACGTCGACATCGCCCGGCTGCTTCTCGAGGCCAGCGCATCGGTCAACCAGGCCTCGAACCAAGGCGCCGCCCCGCTGCTCATCGCGTGCCGCAACGGCCACCTCGAGGTCGCCAAGCTCCTCTCCTCCTACGGCGCCTCCCGCGCCGCTACGCTCTTCGGCACGCCCGAGGAGATTGCAAACAGCCGCGGCCACGCCGACCTCGCCGCCTGGCTGGTCGCCAGCCGCGGCTGGACGCCGCTCGCGCACCTTGAGAGCCTCACCACCGCCCGCGCTCTCTCCCTGCTGCGCAGCAGCGCAAGCCTGCACGAGGGCGAGCCGACGCCGCTGCAGCGCGCCGCGGGCGGCGAGGGCGAGGCGGCGGCGCTGATCCGGCGGGCGGCGGCGCCGTGGTCGTCGGCAAGCCACTCGCTCTTCCCCGCGGCGGCCCGCGCGCGGGCGGCGCTCCTCGTCCTCTCGCTCTACGAGATCCACGAGCGGCACCATCTCGACTCGGCAGGAAACACGAACGGCATCGCGGCGCGCGACTTTGTCGCGTGCGTGCTGCGCTTCGCGATCACGCGCGAGACGGAGTAGCGGAGCACTGCAGTGGCCCTGCTCTCCCCTTGGAACCGCCGCGACGGTCCCTCCTCTGTTGTTTAGTGCTCAACTGGATCGGACTGTGTGCCGTCCGTTTTATCTCGCGCAGCGTACGTACATTCTGTCGAGATGGATTTTTGTGGCAACTAAGTCTCTGCACGCCAAAAAATAAGCAAAACGGACATCCCAAGCTAGGCAAGCCGCGGCGGCCGCGCTCTACAGACTACACGACCGTGCGCGCCGCGGGGTTGTTGCACGAGTATATGGGACAAAAGCGTCGAAAATGTCCCAAAAAAGCGTGTCTCGAGTTTGTTGCAGCCCCACAGCCGGCGCGCGCTGCCAGGAAGCACCGCTCGCGTGTCGGCCGCACTCCCTGGCACCCGGTGAGTGCGGCCGACCGACCAGACCGATTAGGCTCGACGCCGCGCTCGCTGTGGGGCTGCAACAAACTCGCCGCCGAGCGTGCCACCGAAAGCGTCCCGGCGGAGGTGATGGAGTGTGAGACCTGAGGCTGCGGAAGTGACGCCTGAGGTACCGGTCCGTGCACAGCGACTCAGCCGGCGACCGCCACGGGCTCAGACGAGACTTGTCGACTCGTTCCAGCTCAGCTTCACCGTGGTCCTCGGGCGTCTGTCGACGTCAGGACCACCCATACAGCTCGCGGGTTTGAGGTCGCAAGAGCCAAGATGGTGGCGTTTGGACATCCCAACCATCACACAAGACAGCCTGTAGGTGATGGCGGGACGGCGCAGTGTTTGTGGCACTCGGCAGTAGGCACCCGCGGCACGGCCCCGCTGTCGGCTCTCGCGGGCTGCGGAACCGGACCCAGAAAGGGACGGTCCGGGCGAGTGTGGCAGCTCCTGCGCTAGTATGGGCACCCTCTATTGTAGCACTACTGATCCTGGTCATTAGAGCTGCCAGGGATAGCGTCAGGAGCTGGTAGGAGTCAAAACCCCTCATATTTGAGACATCGTGTCCCATATACTCGTGCAACAACCCCGCGGTGCTCGGTGCTCCGCGCACCCAACTCGTTCGAACGCAAATGACCAAAATCAAGATTGTGTAACGCGAGTTGCCACTGTGAGATGGAACTAGCCCTTGAGTCTCGGCATGAACCTCAGACCCTTCTGAGAGGCAAAAAGAAAGAAAGAAAGAAAACAGACAACCCAAGGGAGGGATGGGAGGACGGCACGCCGCCACCACACAGGGATTTTGAGAGGCACGAGGCCGCCCGTAAATAGGGATATTTTCTTTTTTCCCGTTGTAAATCCTTCCTGCCGGAAATCCTTCATTCGAGTTTCGACGGATGCCAGCCCTCTCCTCCGTTACGCCGGCTGCCGCCTCGCGTCTCGTCGTGCTCGTTGTCGTGCTCTTTGGCTTTGTGCCCAGTAAGCCAGCTCAACGCCGAGAGGCGGCTAAGTAGCGGGAGTGTTGACTCGCGCTCTCCCTCGCCGCCGCAGGCCTGATCCTCCAATCGCCGGCCATCCCTCACAATCAGAAGTGGTTCGGAAACCACAGCAACTGGGGGTACCACCACGACGCCTCTGGCATGCCCGACGCTGGCTGGCAGAACGAGATCGCCATCTGGAACCTGTCGGTGGGTCTGATGCTCACCGGCACGCTCTTCTCGGTCAAGGTGCATGAAGCCGACTCACGCGTCGAACCCGGTTCTCGCACCACGGCTCCTGTGAGATGGCTCCTGTGCCCCGCCCACTCACAGGACGTCTCCTTCCTGCTCCCCGGTCTTACTGTCATGTGCACCCTCTTCTTCTTCAACCACCTCAACGGCTTCTCTCGCGCACGCCGGTACGAGAACCGGACCGCGTGGTCTCACGTCGCCGGTGTGCGGGCCCCCCAACACGCAGCACGCCCGCCAACGCCGTTTTCCTGAGCCCCTCAACCGGTCACAGTTGGGGCCATGACATCGCAGGCGCCGTTGGCAACGGGGTTGGCATCGCTCTCTTTCTGTGCTGGTGGATCCTGAGCTTCCGCGCCGGCTTCGTCTGCCTGTGGCGGCGGCGGTCCGCCGAAGCAGAGGAGGGCAAGGGCGACTGCAGCGCGGCGGCATGAGTACGCAGGTGGGGAGGCCGGGTGGTATGTCGGTCGGTCGCCACGCAGCTGGCCAGGCAGAGGGGCGGAGGGGAGAAGAAGTGAATGAAAGGTGTGGGTGTGGCGTGTCTGGCGCGTGGCGGCGCGAACCCTGCCCGCTCGCTGTTCGTGCCGGGGGAGGCGCGACCCTGTGTCACCCGGGTGGTCACTCACTCACGCACCGAGCCACCGACTCAGGGATGTATGTTTGTATGTATCGAAGGCGAAAACAGGGTGTGCTGAGTGTGTTGAGTGCTGTGGATGGATTGGAGGAGGATGTCGCTCGAGGGATGTTGAGAGACTGACTCGAGGACGTGTCTGATTTCTTTTGGGACGGACCGCTCGACCACTCGACTGGAAAGGGATGGGTCAAAGACCACGCGTATGGAAAGGGGTGGGTCAAGACGGATACGGGCTGGAAGTGGATGGGGGCGCAGTACTACGACGCGAAGTGGGTCAAGAAAGCCATAACGCGGCTGGTGCTCGTGGAAACTTTGGGAGGCATTGCGCCGCCCACCAAGCAGTGCCTCCACGTGTTCGCCAAGGAGGCGGCGGGCACCAACACGGACCGGACGGTGTATGGGGCGGCGTCGGCGAGCGCCTCCTCCTTCGTCGTCCACCACACGCAGCAGATCTCCAAGGCGGCGGTGGCGGGCGACGCCGAAAACATCAACAAGCAGGCGCGCAAGGAGCGTACCGACTGGATCAACAAGCAAAAGAACAAGCAAGCGACAAGCGGCTTCTTGTCCTCGGCCCCAGTGGGGGGTGCCCGCGCCGCCTAGCTCTGCAGACGGGCCCCTCCACCCTTCGTGTAATCATGTAGTCCCCACATCCGCAATCGTGGGATCGCTTGTCATGTGAGAGAGTGCGTTGTGTTCTTGTTTTGTACCCGCTTTCTCTTTTGAGCATCGCATACGCCAGGGAGGACAAGGACGTCGACGTGCAGCAGCTGTTGTTCGAGTCGTTCGGTGGGTTCGGGAAGGAAGGGGGTCGGCGCGATCTTCTGTGGAAGGCGGCGAACGCGCTGCAACAAGCTGACGCGGGCCCAGTACCTCGATGAGGTGACTTGGACCACCAAGAGCTGGCTGGGGCTGCAGACAAGCAGCGCATCTCAGTCGTTCTTCACACGGCCATCGCAGAGCAGATTGTGAATGAGCTTGCCTGCGGCGAGGGCGGTCGGTCGAGTGCACGGAGCTAAGTGCCTCGCCGTCCTCGCGGGAGTCGCTTAGGTGGCTCCCGTGGTGTACCTGTGTTAGTGCCAGTGCGCGCCAGTCCCGTGCCTAGTGTGGTGTCAGAGTGTAAAATACTGTCCCGTTTTGCTGTTCACAGCTAGGGACGGCCTCTGCGGCAAAGTCAACTCACCCCCACCACCCTACCACCTCCCACCACGGCAAACCTTCGGCTCCCGCTCAGAGGCGCCCCGCGCCCGTGCGGCGCGCCGAGGCGGCGCCGAGGCCGGCGCCTTGCACCCGGCCCGCGGCCGGCACCGCCTCGCCCCACAACTGACCGCCCTGCGGCCCCTGCGCAGGCGTACCACAGGCGTCGCTCAAAAAGCGACGCCGGGTGTGGGCTGCTCCCTTGACCCGTCACGGGTGCGGCGCGCCGAGGCGGCGCCGAGGCCGGCGCCTTGCACCCGGCCCGCGGCCGGCACCGCCTCGCCCCACAACTGACCGCCCTGCGGCCCCTGCGCAGGCGTACCACAGGCGTCGCTCAAAAAGCGACGCCGGGTGTGGGCTGCTCCCTTGACCCGTCACCCGCCGCGCCCTCGCCCGGCCGCCTCACCGCTCACGGAGCGTGCTCGCCGCCGCCGCCGCGCGTCCCGCGCCGCCACGCATGCCCCTTGCCCTGACGCGCGCGCTCTGCAGCGGCAGAGCGCGCGTCTGTCACAGACGGAGCAGCGACCGCGCCAGCGGTCGCTGCTCCGCCCCTCCGTCGCGCGCGCCTGGAATGCAACCTTCCGCTAGCAGAGCGAGCCTCTCGACGCGCGTCGACGAGGATGGTAGCCATTCGAACCTGCCACTCTCCGTTCTGAAAAAGCAGTACGAGCGTCCGCACGCAATTTCAAGGTGGGCGCCAAAGCCCCGCCGGTACAATCGCAGCTCCTTCCTCCGCAGCGCCTTAAACCGCCTTCGGCGCTTTTTTGCCAATTCGCGCTTCGCTTGAACTGAATTGCGGTGTCGCACGAAGTCCAGGCAGTGGTCGAGGAGCAAGTTTGTAGCAAGCGGGGTCGCAACCACGAGCACGGAACCGTCTGTTGCAATCAGAGAAGCGACCTTGACACCTGAGTGGAATGCCGCGATGCCGTGCGTAACCAACAGCGGGTCGTTGTTGACGAGTGGCGTGAGTACCATCAATGTTGGCACCATGGCAAAGGCGCAACTCTGAGGTGATTTCACGAGCATGCGCACCCATTTGACGCAGAGGTATCCGACAGCCGAGCCGGCTTCGTAGCCGCTGAGAAATGCAGAGTTGCCGCCGAGGGAGACCAAGCCCGGTGGCAATCCGAAGCATCGTGATCGAACGGTGCAGAGCCACTCAAAGTACTCTGTGCGCTCATCAAGAAGCAGGTATCTATGGCTAGCCCAAGACGAAGCTGAGTAGTAGTATCGGGTAGCGTTTGAAATCAGCTGAACTTGATTTCCTTCCAGCGCCCAATGCCGCACCGAAAGGTGTGTTCCGACAAGCCGCAATGGGGCAACATGACCTGGTTTGAGCTCCCAATTTCGCAGCGAAAGGTGTGCATCGAGATTCAGCAACGGGGCAAGTCCTTCAGGCCAACGCCAATCGCAATCGTTTCGCAGTTGGGGCGAAGTTCGGTCTTCCTCTTCGTCATCGATCGGCGGCGAGAGGCGGCGAGTGGTGACGCGAATTTCAACCGAAATCGCGCCACCCTTTGTGCACTTTGAACGCAATGATGTTGTTGTGACGGTTGAATTTTTGCCGATTTCTGTAAGCGTCCATTTTTGAATAGGTTTGGAAACCACCGAGGGGTACAATTCCACATAATTCATCCGACGGAAACGTGGCGATGGCACCTGATTCGGGGCGCAGTGGGGGGGGGGGGTGAGGATTTGGTTCTGAAGAAGGTGGGGCAGTACCGAGGGGGATGGGGGAGGGTCACCGTTTGGGCGAGCGAAGGCTGTGGCGCCGACGGCGGCACCCTTGTACGAGGCTGTGAGGGGAGCGGCGGCGAGAGGGGGGGCGACGGCGACGCAGGCGAGCCGCGCGCGCGCGCGACTGACGGAAGCGCGGGCGGCGGGAAAAAGGAGAACGGCGGCGGCGGCGAGGCGCAAAACGGGGGCGGCGGAAGTGGGGGCGACGGCGGCGGCAGAGTGAACGGCGGCGCGCGCACGGACGGCGACGAAATCGACGGCGGGGAGGGCCGGGGCTGCATGGCGGCGGCGGACGCGCGCACATTTGTCGTGCTTGCGCATTGGCACTCGACGTCCTCCTCGGCGACCTGCGTGCGCGCGGGAACGGCAGGGGTCATTTCGCGCGCACCGGGCGGCGCCGTGCTCGCAGCAGCCGGGATCGCGGCAGAGTATGGTGGAGAGCTCTACCCGCGCACCTGCCCAGCGATGAGGTCGACGCCGCTCCTGGCAGGCGAGGCAGGGATCTCGGCGACGTTGGAGAGCGGGCGCACGATGTCGTGGGCGACGCCCGTCCGCAGCCACGTCGTGGTGACGACGATGGCGAGGAGCATCACGGTGGAGAGGAGCGTCCCGGCGCTGCTTGGGCTCGCTCGAGTTTCCGGTCTAGGCGCGGCACGGGGTTTTTCATTTATCAGGGCTTGGACGTGGACCTCCAAGAATTCTTTTGACCTCGTGAGCTCCACGACTGCTGGCTCGCCGCTCGTGTCGTGGCTCGCTCTCCTCTCCTCCACCTGCCGCACTATTCCTATGGCTCCCGTCATCGCCGCGCTGTGCCTTTCCTTCGTGCTGCCGCTGCCGCTGGATACCGCCCGGCATGCCCGTGGCGCCACGCCCGCGCCCGCGTTGATGGAGGCGGCAGCCACTACCTATCGGCTGAACAACTACCTGCTGCCGGCGCCGCTGACGCCGCGCAACAACATGGTACTGGTGAAGCTGCGCAAGAGCGAGGAGGGCGAAACCTCGCGCGGGCTCGTGCTCGCCGCCTCGCAGCGCAAGATCCGCGACGGCGAGGTGGCGGCTGCAGGCCCAGGGCTGACGCACCCAGAGTCGGGGCAGTTGCTGCCGACGGGGGTGGGGGCGGGTGACCACGTGCTGTGCGAGGAGATTGTGATGGAGGGCGAGGCTATCGACTACCTCGGCGAGAAGCACCGCATGCTGCCTGACTCACGTGTGGTGGCCACGCTGGAGGGCGGTGAGGCGCCTCCCTCTCCATGGAGAATCTCACTCGCCCAGTCTAGAGACGGTGCCCACACTCCGCCAGTCATCGGCTGCTTGCACCGCCGCGCCCCTTGGACCCGCGCGCGCCCCCCGAGGTTGCGACGCGTGCGTGACGGCGCAGGCGTCATGTCGGCCGCGACCTTCAAGCCGTCGGGCGAGCGGCTGCTGGTGCGACTGCCGAAGGCGGTGGAGGAGACAGCGTCGGGAATCGCGCTCGCCGGGCTCGGCGACTCGGGCGAGCTCCCGTCGCAGGGCGAGGCGCGCACTGCAGAGCAGAGCCTTCCCCCTGCCCCTCCCCCTAGCCGGCGTACGTGACGCCCGTGCCGACTTGTCGTGCGCGCGTCCCCCTGGCAGGTGGTGGCTGTGGGGCCGGGCCAGCTCAACGCGCGCGGGGAGCACAACCCGATGCCCGTGGCGCCGGGGGAGTTCGTCGTCTTTGGACGCTACGCCGGCTCAGAGCTCGACTTTGAGGATGGCTTCAAGTACAAGGTGGTGTTTGCCCGCGAGTGCCTCGCGAAATGGTGAGGGCCGGCCAGTGAGGCGCTTGCGCAACGGCAGGCCGGGGGGGCGGTCGCGCATCGCATGATGCGTCGCGCTTCTTTCTCTCCCCCCGCGCAACGCCGCAGCGGGGTGCGACGGCGAGGGACGGAAAGGGAGGGGAGGGGAGGCGCGTTCGATAGCGGTAGTTTTCAAACTTAGCTCGCACCACGCCGAGGAAAGAATGTGTGCAGCTGCAAACCCCCGGCTGTCCTTGAGCCAGGCGCGCCGAAAACAGGTAAGCAGCCATTCGTCGCAGCCCGCGGCAAGAAGTCCCCGAGGTTTCGTGTGCGAGCCGTGGAGCGACTCTGCGGTAATTCGAGTGGCCAGCTTCCGCAGGCAGGCGTCCTGTGGGGCAGCCAGGATCTCCTTGTAAGTACTCGCTGCACCGATGCCGATGGCCGAGAGACGATGCGAGGCCGGCGAAGCGTCGAAGCCGCTTCCACCCTGTGGGTTGCCGTGGCGTCACAGGGCGAGCCAAAGTTGCCGCGTGCGCTGCCGTTGCGCCCAACCAGGTGCTGTGACAACAATGGGGGAACCCAGTGGTCAGCGAGGCTGGAAGTGCGGTGAAAGAGCAATCGCTGCAGCGGCGCAACCTAACACCCGCACGTGTTTTGCAAGCCCGGAAATGCGGAAAACTTAGTCTGGTCACTCATTCCGTCAACATAAAACAAAATCCATAGCACTCCATGAAACGGCACCGAACACCGCCACCGGACGTAACCACCGAGGAGCACGTCAGCCTCCATGACCTGACAGCCGAGCATGGCCATGAGGCAGGCTCCATCTGTATCATCTGCAAGCGGCCTACCCCTAACGCCAAGACTGGTATCGACTTCCTCGTGCGGTTGCTGACGCTCGAGCAAACGGGCTGGGTGCGTGACGAGGATGTGGGCACATACATCGACAAGGTGAAGGGAGGAGAGAAGAGGATGGATGCTGCCCCTTTCATGGACGAGCTGCAGAAGAAGGGCAAGAAGAAGAAGCCATTCGCAGAGGAGTCAGCCCTGCTGCTCAAGCAAGTTGCCAAGCTGAAGATGGCGCAGGCGAAGGAGGGAGCCCCTGTGACCGTGTACTTCTCGGACAAAGAAAGCTGGTACAATGGCACGATCACGGCCGTGAACAGGGACCGGACATTCACGGTGCACATTGATCTCTCTCTCCGTCACGCACACGCCCCGCCCCCCCCAGACACACTAACCCAACACATTCCTTTCAGGTTCTCTTCGAGGATGGTGACGAGGATGACTCGGTGCCTCTGACAGACCTATACCAGAAGGTTGCGGTGCCGGCGGTCTCCAAGGCGTGCTCGGCTCCGGCGCTCCTTTATGGGCTGCCAAGTGTGTCTACAGAGTCGCTGGAGATCGAATGCGACCAGGCCAGTGACTCGGAGGACTCCGACAGCGATCCGACCTCGGAGGAGCCCGCGGCCGTGACTAACGCGGACGACGCGCCACCGCTTCTTGCCCAGGCGCCAGCGTTAACGCCAGTGGCTACAATCGTCGCAGCTGCTCTGCTCGCTCTGGCAGCAGGGGTGACAGCTGCTCCAACCGTGTTCCAGCCAGATGGCGGCGGTGCTGGCGCTGGTGCTGGTGCTGACGTGGCTTCTGAGACGGAGCCTGTGGCTGCTGAGCCTGAGTCTGTTGTGCCAGGTGGGCCGGAGGGGGGCGAGGATAGCGAGGCAGAGTCTTGCGAGGCAGAGTCGCCAGAGGTGGAGGAGGAGGAGGAGGAGGAGGAGGAGGAGGAGGAGGAGGAGGAGGAGGAGGAGGAGGAGGAGGAGCCGTCGCTGGCAGAGGGACTGCGCTCGGCATTGAGGGCTGAGGAGCAGCTTGACGTGGTGGACATTGTGGAGACCCTCCAATGCTGCTACTTCCCCAACCTTGCCTCAGTCGTGGGGATCCTTCCTTGCCTCGAGATGATGGAGCACCTGACATTCAACGAGGTGCAGACCGGTGACATTCCCTCGCGAGTGCGGGCGCTGGTGCAGCTCTTTGGAATGCACTGACTGCCACTGAGCGCCCTCGCCTGCCCCTCGGGATACTGGGGCCTGTGGTGGGGGAGGGCGGAGGAAGTGGACCCTCGGGAAAACTGGGGCGGGGGAGTGAGCAAGTGAGTGGACCTTTCAGAAGGCATCCTTGGGCCGGCTCGGACCTCTGCGACTCTCTGGTGCTGGTGCTGGTTGGTTGGTTGGGTCAGCTAGGGGGCCTTGTGGTGTATCGCCTCACCTCGAGTCTCTTGTGGCTCTTGTCAGTTGTCTCAGTCGAAACGGTCGCGCCTGCCGCAGCTGGTAGATGCAGAGTACCGCGTGAGCCCAGCAGTGTTAGGCGGAGAGCGGAGGGAGATGTTGTTAGCGCGCGCCCGGGTGTCTCGTGTCTGAGCGATTTTCCCTTTTCTAAATTTTAAAAATCCGTCTTGTCCTTTCGCCTGCGGAAACGACCAGGGGGCTCCCTAGAGCCTAGTCCCTAGATGGATTCCTAGATGTCCCCAGCCGGAAGCTCCGACGAGTTGCGCCCCGGGCACTGCTGCGCATCTTCGCTATGCCAGAGACCCCTAAGCTACGGCGTCGGACTGGGTGAGCTCGCTCCCCCCCCCCCCCCTCCCCCGCCCCCCGACGCGCGCCCCCTCCGTCCCGGCCTGTACGCGTGCACGTTCCAGTGTAGCGACCGAAAGAAGGCGCTCGGGTGCAGGCCCGAGCAGTCCACCATCCCGTATCTCACCACAAAGGTGGCGCCGAGGGAGAGAGTACCCTCCAGCGCCCTGCCGCACGCCTCGACGACCGGGTAGCGCGGCTCCAGCTCGACATTCCATCTGTTCCACCGACGTGAGGCTGTACCCTCCGTCGCGTCGCGGCTGGTCTCCTCCACAAATTCGCGGACGATGCACGCGACGGCGTGCTCGCGCCCCGTCAGCTCCCCTGTGATCCCCTGTCGAGCCAGGTACCCCGCCAGCCCAGGCGCTGCCTCGTCGAGGACGGCTGCCGCCCTCGCTGTCACAGGGGCGTTGGAGAGGATGACTGGATGAGAGCCGGTCTGTGTTCCCCACAAGACGCGACGGGTATGCGGAAGGCGCTCGTGGTTGGCATCAACGAGCAGATACAACGCCTCCAACTGGCTCATCGCGCTCGAAATGCCGAAGCACCGAGATGACCTGCCGAGATTCGCGGTCGATGCACACAATCTACTTGCAGAGATGGAGGCTCGGAGGACGCGGTTCAACGCGCTCGTGCTCGACTGCTGCCGTAACGACAGGCTCCCCACGGGAGATCGCTCGCTGGGCCGCGGCCTCACCTCGATGGACCCAAAGGGCTCGCTCGTAGCATTTGGCTGTGCGCAGGGGCAAACTACAGCCGAGCGGCGAACTGGGCGGAACGGCATCTTTACTGAGCACCTGCTGAAGCATATCGAGACGCCCGGGCTGGAAATCAACGCCCTGTTCATTCGCGTCGGCAATGCGGTCGAGAGGGCGACACGGGGCTTGCCGCAACCGATGGTGCCTTATGTCCACCACAGCCTCCGTTGCGAGGGTGCCACGCTATTCCCGGCACTCCCAACTGGAGTGGCGTCGCTCAGCGCGGCGGCGACAGTAGAGCAGCAAATGGCGCAGGCGCAGGCGCAGGCGCAGCTAGCTCTCGAGAGCAGGCTCCATGAGCTGGAGGCCTCACGGTTAATGGTCAAAGCAAAGGAGTCGGAGGCTCTGGCCGCTGCTGTCAAGGCCGGCCACGTGCGGCTCGAGGATCTCTGCACCGCCAGCCCTACAGCACGGCGAGTGAGCATGCAGCCGATCCTTGCGACTTTGCTCAGCATCTCAGCGGTGCGACGCCGCCCGCACGCCGCAGCGAGCTTGTCCTCCGTCTCGAGCCTTCCTCCTCCTCGTCGTCCCAAAGCGGCGGCAGTGCGGCGGCATGCCTCATGACCAAATTACTATGGAGACGATAACTGCGTCGTGCGTGATTGGTAAACTCTGTAACTCTAACTGAAAGCCCACTACTCGACAGGGCACAAGGGTTCTCCTTCAGTCAACTAAAGCGTAGCTCGATCACATCTGCGTCGTATATAACGCTGCCAGTCGCCATCGCAGAAGAACCGTGTGGCAGTCACCACGCAGTCTTTGCCACAGCCACCGTGCACCGAGAGTCGCATGCCCTCATCAGGCGTAAGTTGCGGTAGTCTCGCTCGCGCCGCAAGCTCGCGACGAGGCTCCGCTGCCGCTGCCGCGGTGCCTCATCACGGCGCCCATCATCTTGGACTTGAGAGGCGTGACGCCGTCTCGAGGCAGGTGCTCGGCGAGGTCGACGCCTGCGCGATGCGCGCAGGGCGGCACGGGCGGGCGGCATGGGCGGGCGGGGTGCGTGGAGTCGGGGGGTGGAGTGGGCGGGTGTTGGGTGTGGGTGTGGGGTGTAGGTGGGGGTGTGGCGGGGGTGCCGTCGGGGCGTTGCGCACCCATCTCCTCCTCCTCCGCAGTCACGCGCAGGAGCTTGGCGGCCTGGAGCGACCCGAAGACGATGGACGAGGTGGCCACCGTCCAAGCAAGCACGCGACGAGCGTGCCGAGCACGTTGGTCCCGAACTGGCCCCCGTGGCCCGTGTAGAAGAGGCCGCCGCCGCCCACGTATAGCCCAGCGTGGCCACCTGCTCGGGCCACGCAAAGAGGCCCGACGCGATGCAGCCCCAGAAGCCGGGCCACGCGTGCACCGCGCCGGCGTGCACGGGGTCGTCGATCCGAAGCCGCTCGTGCAGCCGCCACGAGCCGCAGTAGACGGCCCCGGAGACGATGCCGATGATGGCCGCCGCGTAGGGCTCTACCACGCCGCAGGGGCCAGTGATGCCTACGAGCCCCGCCACGATGCCGTTCATGCACCTGGGGAGTGGGGTGGGTTTTTTTGGGGGGGGGGGGGGGGAGGAAAAACGGGCGAGCGGGTGGGGATGGTAGGGGGTAGACAGCGCCCCAAAATCCACCACTGTGGGATTTCGCGCAATCGCTTGACTCTGAAAAGCTCGCCTATCCCTGCGGTGAGCGCTGTGGTCGCCGCAGACTGGCTCCGACTTGATGGGCGCATGGAGACGTGATGCCTCCATGCGCCCGTCGAGTCAAAATCGACATGCGAGGCGATCTTTGGCCCGCCAGAGGGATAGGCGGCGTTTTGGGCGACAACAGCGCTGCGACCGCGAAGTGGCGGTGGACATGCTCCCATGTTGCCGACGCGGCGCCGGAGTGGCCGACGCTGCTCGCCGCGACCACGACGGCTACTCCGATGCTCCGGGCCGACCCGTCCCACCCGACGGTGGCACTCTTCCACGTCTCGCTCACGCTGGGAAAAATTCTGAAACGGCGTGCAGCAGAGTCACCGACGAGTCGGTCCGCGTGCCTCCTCGTGTCCCGTACCGTTCTCACACATCCATAAACTCACTTTGGCCCCACTGAAGCAAGCCCTCAATCCTGAATCCTCAGATTTTAGATTAGGACGCTGTCCACCCCCTAGGGATGGGCGATGGAGGACCCGACGGGCGCGTCAAACTGTCAGCTGTCGTACTAGCTAGTACGACTGGCTACTAGCAGCTAGGTGGAGCAGCTAGGTGGAGCAGCTAGCACGTCCACACTCCCGCCCTCCCGACCCCTCGACACCCCTACAGCGGCACGCTCTACCCCTCCCGCCGTTTTAGGGCCTCCCCACCCGCACTCCCTGTACGCAATCAACAGTACAGGCCCGGTCTCGCGCCATCTTGTCCCATTTGCGCCGAAACGCCGAAGCGCGCCCTTCCACACGTCCTCTCCCTCCCGCCTCAGGCCCTCCGTCGACTCCCCCATCCATCACGAGGACGGGTGGGCAAAGAGCAGCTCCGACGACCCGTCGCGCCTCGGCGGCTTCTTGAAGGCGGTCGTGTCGGAGCGGGAGCGCCTGTGCATCGCCACCGGCGACGAGGCGCGCGCAGGGCTCTGCGTCGCCGCGGCGGCACCGGCGGCCGGTGGTTCGGGTCCTGCGGCCCGCCGCGTCGAGAGGGGTGTCGGCGGCTGGTCCCGGGCCACGGCCACCATAGCAGAGGCGGCGCACCAGGCCGACCGCCGGCGCTGCTGCTCGCGGAGCGCGGCCACGAGGCGGAGCAGGATGGCGGCGGCGGCGGCGGTGGCAACAAAGGAAAGGAGGGCCCACGCGAGGAGCCACCGGTCAGACGGCAGCTCGAGGGAGCTCATCAGCGCAAAGACGAGTGCGAGCGCGAGGTTGAGGGCGGTGAGACTCCACTCCTCGCGGAGGGGCGGCGGCGACGCCCTCCCCGAGAGGCCCTCGAGGGCGGTGAGCACCATCATGCTGCAACCGACCGCCGTCAGGTAGTGCCACGTGCCGTGCTCTAGGTCGTAGAGCTTGCGTAGCTCCACGCGGCGGGCCCGGCTGCGCGACCAGGCCTCCCTCTCGCTGGCCTCCTCAAAGGAGGGAAGCAGAGGCGGCGATGGAGGCGGCGATGGAGGCGCAGGAGGCGAAGGAGGCGGCGACGGAGGTGCAAGCGGCGGCAGAGGAGGCTCGGGGAAGGTGTGATGGGGGGAGGGCGCGGACGGCGGCGGGGCCGCGGGTTGCTCTGGCTTTGGGAGGTGGCAATCGAGCCGCCGCTTGGGACCGTGCCCCGTCATAAGAAGGAGTCTGCTCTCGTCCCGAGTGGCGCACCGGCCCGAGCCACCGAGCGCGTCCTGGTCCGGAGCCAGGCAGAGCCAGACCCAGTCCGGCCGCGTGTCGTTGACCCAATAGTGCCCCTCGCAGCTGAACGCCGGCTGGGCAAGCTGCTCGCACGGCACGCCGTGCGGGGTCGCCTCGCGCGAGAGGACGCTGCTGCAGTCGGCGACCCAGACATATCGGGAAGTTGCGAGACCCTTGTTGTCCGCCGCACGCTGGTTGAGCGCGTAGGCCACCCCGATCACAACCAGCGGCCAACCCACCGCCCACAGAGCGCGCACGGCCGCCTTGACGCGCCGTCGCTCGTACCGCTGGGCCAGCAGAAACTGGGTGCCGACGTTTAACGTGCAGACCACCGCACCGGCGGCCAGGAGCACCTACACACAGGAAACGGCAGTCAGAGCAACGCCAGTCCCTAGAAGGAGGGGGGCCAGCAGCGCGGTAGCACGTCGTACGAGAGGAGGTGGCCTTGGTGCGTGAGCATGATAGCTGCACCAAAGAGGCCAAGGGCTGTCGTCAGCATGGTGGCCCAGTCTCGCGGCCGGTCGGGCCGTCCGAGCGCAGCGTGGATGGTGCCGTTCAGGGCCATGCAGCTCATATAGGTGAAGGTGCAGAACATCGCGAACCTGGCCAGGGAGATTGGGAGCGGAGAGTAGGAGAGAAAGGGAGCAAGAAGCAGCAAGAGCGAAGCAGGAGGGGACCGGTCTGTGTTGTGTTGCCAAGTTTTGCCTTCTGAGGCGTCGGCGTGGAACGCCCAGGACGCGGCGCCGAGGAAGACGAAGAAGATGGCCATCCCAAAGAGCTGTGGGCTCAAGTACCGCTCGGAGAGGGCCTGCATGAAGAAGAACCCGATCCCCGAAGTGATCATGCACAGGTTGGTCACGGTCGCAAAGGGCTCTGCTATGCTGAAGGGCCTGTCGCCGACATCCCGCTCCGGCGTGAACTTGCGTTCAGTGCCATCAGCGCCGTAGCGCACGGTTGAGTCGAGGTACACAGAGCTCGCGTAAACCACGGCGGGGATGGTGCCAATCAGAGAGGCAAACGTAACGAGGGCGAGCGACACTGCGCGCTGAAGCTGGCCGTGGTCCTCAAGCGACATCGCAGCGGTAGCGGATGTCGTGGTGCTCGTTCGCGCTCGCGCGCAAAGGCAGCGTGCGGCGGAAGCCGCCATGTGTCCGCCGAGCGAGCCGCTTGGCTGATAGCGCCGGCTTTGACCGAATAGGTCCGGCGGTCTCTCGGCCCAAGTGTGAATAGGTCCGGCGGTCTCTCGTTCGCTACGTGTTCGACGTCGTCGAACAACGTTCGACCATGGCACTGTTCACAGCGCGCGCGGACGGCGGTTCTGCGACTCCCGCTCCGCAGGACTTTTGTAAAGCATGCTTGTGGCAAGTTACAGATTTTGAAGAAAAGTCCTCCTTATCAGCTGGTCGCTTCGCTCTCGCTCGCCTTGTCCGGCGCCGCCGCGCGGCCGGCCACGGCTGCGCCCGGCCTCGTCTCCACGGTCTCAGACGGCCTCATGGCGCCTACTGACGCCGACGAGACGGAGCGCGTCGGATTCGTGCTGCAAAAACTTTCAATCTCGCCGACGCTTTATGAGGCACCGAATCGACCAGAGCCACAACACTCCTCGCCTGGCTCGGTCGGGTCAGCGCCCGGCTGCGATCGACTGGCCTCCAGTTCGAACCCAGGTGGGCCTGCTGCCGGCCACGTTGGCTCGCCAGAGCTGCCGGGCTTGCCCAGCCTCGCTGGCGCGTTTGGCGAGGCTGGGGTGGCTGCTGGGCATGACGACATCGCAGCAATGACCTCCACGCTGCGGAACATCCGACTGGGGTTCGCACAGGAAGCCGCAGCGACGCCGCGTTCAGCGGGCGATGCGCGCGTTCCTGCTGCGCAAGGGCACCATCATCATCACGATCCTCATCACCAAGATACAGGCCGCTGCGCGCGGCCTCAACACTCGAACTTCACTGACCAATTTCTTCAAGGCCTGCCCGCCTAGCGGGCGCACCGCCGACCTCTTCCTCAGCCGCGTCTATGGCGGCCACGAGGGCGGGCGGCGGCGCGGCGGCGGCTACGTCGTCGATTTCATCTACTGTTTACGCTCCACAAGTCTTCCTCTCCCCTTCTCGGAAGCGTTGGCCCGTTTCCCTCTCGAAATCTACAACCCTTACGGCACAGTGCGCGGCTGCGACGGAACCATCGGGTTCCGCCACCAACGCGAGGCCACCGGAGAGCAGCTGTGCCTGCCTCCGCCCTCGTCCCCCTCCTCCCCCCGTGAGTCGCCCTGCCCCAGCCGTCCAGAGCACGACCTCTGGCGGGCCAGCCAGCCCCACTCTGCGGGCGCCAAGAAGAAGAAGAAGAAGCAGACGTCGCGCACGCGGCAAGAGAAGAAACACGGCAAGCGCGAGGCGGCGGCTCGAGAGGCTGCCGCTGCCGCGGCTGCCCGCGCGGCTGCTCAGGCGGCTGCTCAGGCCGCTCAGGCGGCCGCTCTCGGACGGTACAGATTGGTCAACGCTTGGTTCTACCCCCGCGGCGACTGGTATACCTTCTACTGGGATGGCAGCTCGGCCGACAAGACCGCTCCTCCGACGACTCCTCCTCCGACCGCGACTCATGCGGCACCGGCTCCACTAGCGAGGCGAATGACATATTCGACACCCTCGAAGCCCATCTCGGCTACGGTTCCGACTCCGGCTCCGGCTGGTAGTCGACAAGCTGCCGAGCGCAAATCACTCTGTGTGACACATTTCTTGTTGGCTTCTAAAAATCTCTCTCTCAGATTTTGTTGTTGTTACAGACGCTAGTAGAGAGAGAGAGACTTCAGAGAGAGAGATTTTTAGCAATACCAAACAACTCTAACACTCACACGTCACTTGGGGCCTGGAGCCCTGTTCACGCGCGCGCGCGAGACGTGTGTGACCACCCTCTCCCCAACAAAGAACAGGAAATAAGCTCGAGAGAGAGTAGTGCCGAAGGCGCCCTTTTTGATTGAGCGCTTGCTTTTCTGGGATTAGTCGGACCGGTACAGTCATCATTTTGGCCCCGATATTCCCCCGTCCACGAGCACATCGGTCGTGTTGGCACCGATACAGCGCCACCGCCCGGCATCCTCTACAGCACGATTCCGTCGCCGACGCCGCCTCCCTCCGCCTCGCCGCTGTCGCCGCCGCCTCCCTCCACCTCGCCGTCGCCGCCGCCTCCTTCCGCGTCGCCCTCGCCGCCGCCTCCCTCGACCTCACCGTCACCGCCGCCGCCGTCCGCCTCGCCCTCACCGCCACCGCCCTCGGCATCGCCCTCGCCGGTTGAGCGGCAGCAGGCCATCGTTGAGCGGCAGATTGAGCGGCAGCTGGCCTTCGTTGAGCGGCAGTTTGAGCGGCAGCTGGCCATCGTTGAGCGGCAGCTTGAGCGGCAGCTGGCCATCGTTGAGCGGCAGCTTGAGCGGCAGCTGGCCATCGTTGAGCGGCTCGCTGCTGCTGCCGCGGCCAACGGGTCGCTGATGCATATCATTCAGCGCTATGCGCTCCTCGAGCAGCGAGTCGACCCCGCGCCGCTCATTGCGGGTTGGAACCGCGCCGTGGTGGCGCTCGGCCTCCAAGGGCGCAGGTTCGGATCGGCCTTTGCGCTACATACCTGCTCCGGTGTGCGGCTCATCACCAGCCACCACGTCCTCCTCGACTGCGGCTGGGATGCGGACTCTCGGCCGCTGATCGACGTCGGCGTTGGCGCCTCGATTACGTACGACAGCTGGCCCCACCGTGCGGAGGTACTCGCCCACTCGCCCTCGCCGGCCGGCCGCCGCGACGCCGCCGACCACCGCGCCGGCTATCCCAAGCCGTTTCTCGATCTCGCGATGCTCGAGCTGGTGGACGGGTCTTTGCCCAACGCCTTGGAGGCTGGCAACGACGTGCAGGTGGGCGACCAGGTGGTGATCCTCGGCTACGGGACGCAGAACTACAAGCATGCCGCCGTGCAGAACACCATGTACGGCTCGGTCGCGTGCATCGAGCGGGTAGACGAGAAGCACGGCTGCCGCGTGATTGACATCCAGGGCGACATCCTCGACGGCCACTCGGGCGGGCCCATCGTATCGCTGCGCACGCGGAAGGTCATCGCCATCTCTGTCGCCTCACACTCGGTCTCACAGACCGGCTTTGTCGTGGGGATCGATGGCCTGACCTGCCGCGTCTCGAACGCCGTTGGAGGCCTCCACTTTGGAGTTCCCGTCACGGAGCTCGCCACCTTCTTCACGGCGCTGGGGGGGGTCGCTGACGATGGTTCTATCTGTAGAGCGAGCAACTCTGTCTGAAGACGTGTACTTTACTGTGTCACGATCGTTCGTTTTGTTGTACTGCCCCTGCACAATGATGTTTGCCCCTGCAGACTGTAGTTTATGGTGGTTTAGAGCTTGCGGGGGGGGGGGGGGGGGAAATTTGGGCGGTCGACTTCAATTTTGGGGGGGGGGGACCACTGTTTTGGGGATCCTGCCAACCCGCTACAGTTGTAGCCCGACTGCCCATAAAATGGACACCTCAACGGGAGGGCACTCGCAGCATGCGGGGCCGAATCCTGCAGCCTTCTTCTTGGCCCGGAGAGGGTGATCAGGCACAGGTCAGAGAAGCAAACGTAACGAGGGCGAGCGACGCTGCGCGCTGAAGCTGGCCGTGGCCCTCAAGTGACAAACAACACAGCCGTAGCGGCAGAAGGCGCCATCCTGGACGGTCAGTGCCCAGCTTCTGCCATCACGTGGTCGCCGAAATGTTGCCGCCTCGTTTGCCTCGAGGATGTAAGGTTTACCGCTTCCGCTGCCCTGGGTGGATGGTAGCGGGGGGCCCATAAAGAAATAGAGCAGTCATCTGCTCATCTCCAGGGAGAGATGGGCGACGCACACGAACACAGAGGGACATAGTGCGCACTAGCGGGGGGCCCCGCCGGAGGCTGGTACTTGGAGCACTTGGAGTGCAGTTATTAACCTCACATGCGGGGCCGGGGAGCTAAGAAGCGCACCCAGCGAGCCGGATGTTCCCTGTTTTTCTTTGCCACACTATCGGCCGGCGGTGGACTTGCCCACATTTGGTCTCCGCCGAATGCCTGGCGATCCGCCGCAGAACAAGTCTGAGCAGGATGGCACGGCTCATCCCCGCAGCGACCCGAATCTACTTAGCGCCGAGGCGCCCCCCGCGACCGACGCGCTGGAGCTGATCCTCGGCTGGACGAGCTCGCTGATGGAGGTGGACTCGGTCTGGCGCGCCTTGCAGGAGGAGAAGGCCAGAGGCTGGGCCTCCGAGGCGGTAGACCGGATGTGGAAGCGGCGGGACGAGCTCATGTCCAAGGCCAACCGGCGCACCGAGGTCTTCACGCCTTCGACCAAGAAGTACGTGCGCTTCTACCGCGAGTGGATGCCAGCGCTGGCGCCCGTCTTCGCTGGCCGCGCCGGCGCGAACCGCAGCTTTGCCGACATCGGCGCCTCGCCAGGCGGGATGTGCGAGTACCTCGTCGGCGACTTGGGCTGGCGCGGCCACGCCTTCTCACTGTCCCAGGCGAGCCTCGCGGCTCCATCTCTCTCTCTCTCTCTCTCTCTCTCCCTCCCTCCCTCCCTCCCTCCCTCCCTCTCCCTCCCTCCCTCCCTCCCTCCCTCCGTCCCCATCCCTCCCTCCCTCCCTCCCTCCCTCCCTCCCTCTCTTTGCTGCACACACCCACTCTCGTCCGCGACACGCGCCTCGCCCGCCGCCGCCCGCTCGGACACACTGTATCTCGCGCGATCTCTCTGCGCCAGGCGGACGGAGGCTTCGGCATGACCTTCTCCCACGTCCGCCTCGGCTACAGCGACGCGGACCTGTCCGCCGACGGCTCGCCACCCTTAGATGCGGACCACAGATCCACATCTCCATATCTCCCCACATCTCCCCGTATCTCCCCGCTCCCCACATCTCGAGGCCTAGATGCGGACCACAGATTGCGTGTACTCCGACTAGCAGAGGGGCCGTTCGTTCACAGTGCGAGGGGCGTGAAGAGACGCTGCTCGCTTCTCGAGGCATGCCAACGGTGCCGGTGAGGCGGCGGGCGCCGTCAAGGAGGAGGAGGAGGTGGCCGGGGGGGGGGGGCACAGAGCGCCTCCCACAGCTGCCCGTGCCGTCTCCTCGCTCTCACCCGTGTGTCTGCATGGCGCAGGCTCGTGGCGCCGCCTGCTGGGCGCGGCCCCGTCGGCCGACTTTGTCAACGCGGGCAAGCCGTGGTCGGAGATCGGGCAGAAGGGCCCTTCTGGCAGAAGGGCCCTAGAAGGGCCCTAGAAGGGCCCTGGGGGCCTCCGCGTAGGCATCGTGGTCGACCGCGGGCAAAAGAAGGCGCACGGCGCAGCCGAGGCGGGCGAGGCGCGGCGCGAGTCTGCTTTACGCGTTTCTATTTACCGCGGTGGCGCGTGTCTCTCTCAGGTTTGACGAGGAGGGGCACGAGTACCACACCTCCAGAGTACCGAACCCAGTGTGGCTGTCTCTCTCAGGTGGACGAGGAGGGGCACGAGTACCACACCTCCAGAGTACCGAACCCAGTGTGGCTGTCTCTCTCAGGTGGACGAGGAGGGGCACGAGGGGTGGGCGCGCTCGGTCCGGTCTCTCGAGTTCGGCGCCATCCTCCGGAACGAGCTCCAGATGCCTATCTCGCACAATCTCGCCTAATCTCGGCGGTCTCCCGCCCAAGGCGCCATTCTCCGGAACGAGCTCCTCTTCGCCCTGCGCGCCCTCAAGCCGGGCGTGCCGCCCTAGATGCGCTACCACGAACCTTTGTATTCCGACGAGCACTCGAGAGGACGCGCAGTCGGCTCTATGCAGCCGGACTCGCTTCCCCCTCCGTTCACGCGCATGCCCGGCACACACCGGCACGGCTCGGTGTTTGCACGCCGTGACGTGAGGTTGGCCCACGGCGAAGGCGGCCACCTCTACTTTGCGTACCAGCTCGGCATCTACTCGATGCTCTTCCGGCTGCTCCTCGCGCTGCGGCCCGCCTTTGGGCGCGTGCGCGTGACGCCGACCTTCGCCGCGCACCGCACGCCCCTCTACGTTTTCCTCGGCGAGTACTCTGGCGCGGAGAGCCCCGCCGCCGTCGCGGCGCTCACCTGTCTCGAGGCGCTGCCGACGGCCATGGTGCTGTGAACAGCGTCTCTTCACACCTCGAGCTGTGAACAGGCGCTCACCTTTCTCGAGGCGCTGCCGACGGCGGGCGCGGGCGCGTACGTGGCGTGGCACCTCTCTGCGTGGGACGGCGCGGCGAGGGCGCTGCACGCCGAGCTCTCGCCCGACCTGCACGCGGTGTGGCGGACGCAGGAGGGCTACCTGAGGGAGCAGCGGCTCACCGCCGAGCGGCAGTTCGGAGCCGACGGCGCGGCGCGCAAGGGAGGGGGGAAGGGCGGCCGCCCGCCCGGCACGCGCGCGGGGTTGTGATGGACAGGTTGGTTTTCGTTATCTCTGCGAGGCGTGAATCTTGTGAGACCGTTCCGCCGCGTGTGGACAGTGGAGAGTGTGGAGCCGCTGCTCTCGCTGCGGTCGCTCCGAGGAAAACGTGTCCCCTCATTTCCGACCTCCACGATGTGGGGAGATGTGCTCTGGCTCGCACACGAGGGCGACACGCACTCGGCGGCATTCACTTGTCTCTCCAGCCCCTTTCGCTCACTCACCGACTGTGGCGCACTCTCACGACACAGCTCACAGGTGCTCGACCCGCTCGATGACGCGAACAACGCGGGCAAGGGCTGCTACCGCTTCTGCCAGGTGCAGGCGCTCTTCCGCGCGGCGCTCGCCGCCGCCGCCTCCGCCGCTGGCGACGCGGCCGACCGCGCGGTGGCGAGCGGCCAGGCGGGCTGCGCGCCGTCGGCCGAGTGGAATCGGCGAGAGTGGGCGATTGAGGGGTTGAGACTGGACGGCAGGTGGGATGCGCCATCGACCTCGGCTCCCTCGTCACTGCGCTCATGGACGCGTCTGCGGGCGGCGAGCCGACGGGCGACATGCCGCCGCCGGTGGCGCCTGCTGGGGCGTGAGTGCCGTGGGGGCTCGCGCGGGGTGGGAGGCGGAGAGGGGACGCGACCCCAGCACCCTCGCCGCATGCATGGATTGCGACCATGCGCGTCACACGATTCGCGAGAGAACAGCAGTGTATGCTTCCTCGAGCTCTCGACGTCCCTGACCCTGTCGAGCGACGTCAGGGCGGGATCTCATTTTGGGACAACTGTCAGCTCCCAAGACACTCAACCCGATGGGTCGTTCCTCGTAGCTACTAGCTGTAGGTCAAAAGGTTTTTCACGTAGTCCTTTATTAACTTGAAGCCCCGGGCTTTTTTTCTCCTGTCGGTTCACCCAAGAATTCTTCTTCGCGATGTCCACCCCGCCGCGCCGCCGCTCGCGCCGCCTCGCCGCCGCCGCCGCCGCCGCCCCCTCGCCAAGCACGCCGCCGCCCGCCCGCCTGCTCGACCTCCCCGCGGACCTCCTCGAGCGCGCCCTCTCGCGCTGCGACCCCATCGACATCGCTCGCGTCGCGGCCGTCTCGCTTCTCTTCCACGCCTCACTCGCGCAGGCGGGCATCCGCTTGCGCCTGCAAGAGGCCGGCTACGAGCCGCCGGCGCAGCCAGAGGGCGAGAGCTGCGCCGTGCGGTGGCTGTGCTTCTATGCCTTGCTGCGCGAGTCCAACCCGCCTGCGAGGGCTGCGGCGGGAGATCGGCACAGCGTCTTCATCGACGGCGAGGGGCGGCTCTCGTCGTGCGGGTCAGCGGCAACGGAGGGCGAAGGGGAGGATGAGGACGAAGAGGAGGAGGAGGAGTACTATCCAGGCCTTCTCGGCCACGGCGAGGGCGTGACGCAGCTCAACACACCGACCCGCCTTCCGTCGACGCTGGGTGGCGAGCGCGCCGTGAGCGTGTCGGCTGGCTATGGTCACAGCCTTGCCCTCACCTCCGACGGCGCCGCCTGGAGCTGGGGTAAGGGATCCTGTGGCCAGCTGGGCCACGGCGACGAGCAGAGCCAGTGGCAGCCAAAGAAGATCGAGGCCTTCACTGGCCAGCGCGTCGTCGCTGTCTCGGCTGGAGGCAGCTACAGCCTCGCCCTCACCGCCGACGGCGCCGCTTGGAGCTGGGGCTTGGGCTACGTTGGCCGCTTGGGCCACGGCGACGAGCAGCACCAGCAGCTGCCCAAGAAGCTCGAGGCGTTGGCTGGCCAGCGTGTCGTCGCTGTGTCTGCTGGATGGGAGCACAACCTCGCCGTCACCGCCGACGGCGCCGTCTGGAGCTGGGGCAGTGGATACTATGGCAGGCTGGGCCACGGCGACGAGCAGAGCCAGCTGCTGCCAAAGAAGATCGAGGCCTTCGCTGGGCGGCGCGTCGTCGCTGTGTCGGCGGGAAACGACCACAGCCTCGCCATCACGGCCGACAGCGCCGTCTGGAGCTGGGGCTATGGATGCGAAGGAGGCCACTTGGGCCACGGCGACCTGCAGAACCAGCTCCTGCCCAAGAAGGTCGAGGCCTTTGCTGGCCAGCGCGTCGTCGCCGTGTCGGCGGGAAACGACCACAGCCTCGCCATCACCGCCGACGGCGCCGTCTTGAGCTGGGGCGAGGGGTGGCCCAGCTGGGGCCAGCTGGGCCACGGCGACGAGCAGACCCAGCCGCTGCCCAAGAAGGTCGAGGCCTTTGCTGGGCGGCGCGTCGTCGCCGTGTCGGCTGGAGGCAGCTACAGCCTCGCCCTCACCGCCGACGGCGCCTTCTTCACCTGGGGCGAGGGCACCCATGGCTGCCTAGGCCACGGAGAGGACCTGTCGAACCAGCTGCTGCCCAAGAAGATCGAGGCGTGGGCGAGCCGGTCGCCCACGCCAGTCTCTTCTGACGGCAGCGAGGAGGACGAGTAGCTGCAAGACGGCGGGATACTCTGGTTCCTGTGTGTTTCGGGTGGGTGGAGAAAAAGTATTTTTGCGCGGCGAGTGCCCGCCGTGCTAGAGCTAGCAGCTAGACTAGTCGCGGGCGCGGGCGGTGGCGTGCGCGCTGGCGCAGCCACACGCGTGAGGCGAGACGTCGTGCATCATATGCTTCGAGCGGCCGAAGTCTCACCTCGCGGTGCCGTGCAGCCACTTGTGCGGCGTCTGCGGTCCATGCTCCGAGCTTATGCGAGAGTGTCCTTATTGCCGCGAGCCTGTGATGATGTGGCTCGCCCCGCGCCTTGTGAGAGAGAGATTTTTAGCAATACCAAACAACTCTAACACTCACACGTAATTGTGTTTTTGCCTTGATGATCACGCGGGGAAAGTTGTCTGTGTGTCGCTCCTGTGTGACCGTCACCGCCCGTCTTGCGTCCACCCATTACCGCGCTGGAGTCCCACAGTCGTGGGTCTGACCTTCGTCCTTCCTTGGGGGGCTTCCTGGGGGGGGGAAATCCTTCGACGGATTGATTCGGATCGAGTGTCGGGTTTTCTTCAATACCTCCTGCAAGCAGCGCGGCAACGGCAGAGGCAGGCGTTCACTCCCGCGCACCTCTCTGCCGCGAAATTCGAAACTGCATCATCCGCCCTATTTCCCTACACAGGCGAGTCACAATGAGTGTCGCTCTCAACGAGCTGAAGGACTACGTCGGGTGGGAATCGGGCGGGCAGGCCCGGGCCGAGTCGACGGCGAGCACAACGCCTCCGCAGCCGCCGTCCCGCGAGCGTGCGCCCCGGCTGACAGGCGGCGTCCGCCCGAATGGCGCAGGTGCTGCTGCATGTGACGCACTCGAACCTGCAGGCGCGCATGTTTGAGATCCGGCTCGACCGGCACATGAGCGTCGGCACCGTCAAGGAGAAGCTGCGGACACACACCGGTGCCGGCCCGGCGCGTTGGCGGCGGCAGCAGGACGGGCGCTGCGCTCTGAGTCGTCGCTGCTGTCTCCTACGTAGGCACTGGCTCGGTGTTCGCGCACTTGACGCTGCTCGACGAGAACCAGCAGGCACCGCTGCGGCCTCCGCCGCCGCCGCCGCTGCCGCCGCCGCCGCTGCCGCCACCGCCACCGCCGCCGCTGCCGCCGCCGCCGGCCGCGAACCCCTCGCCGCCCCGCGGTCCTACCCCGCCGCCTGTCCCCCTCGGTCAGGTCGTGGCCGACCTCTGCGATGACTCGCTGATGCTGGGTCTACGCGCCGCCCCGCCCCGCCCCGCCCCGCCCCGCCCCTCTCCACCGGTAGGCTACCCTACCCTGCCCTGCCCGCCTCCCCCGCCCCGCCCTGCCCTGCCCTGCCCACCACTCCTCTCCGCCGCTGCCCGAAAGGCTACTTTTCGCCGCTGGACGGCTACACGCTGCACATCACCGACCTCGACCCGCACTCCCTCTCGGCGGGCGGCGGGCTGGAGGACGTCAACCTCGTCAAAAAGTGCGAGACCCATATCTGCCCATATCTCCCCATATCTCCCCATATCTCCCCATATCTCCTCAACCTCGTCAAAAAGTGCGAGACCCATACCTGCCCATATCTCCCCATATCTCCCCATATCTCCCCATATCTCCTCAACCTCGTCAAAAAGTGCGAGACCGCCGGAGGGGGACCGGCTGGAGCGGGAGGAGAGCCCCGCTCTTCACGGCTGCTGATGTCATTAGGTACGAGATCTCGGAGGGGGAGATTGTGGGAGATTGTGGGAGATTGTGGGAGATTGTGATGATTTCATTAGGTACGAGATCTCGGAGGAGGACTACCTGAAGCGGGAGGACAACTTCCGCGCGTGGAAGGAGGCCAAGAAGCGGGAGGACCCGAGCTGGTCCTTTGCTAAGGAGATCAAGGAGAGGCAGGACGCGCAGCGCAAAAAGGCGGACCCGAGCTTTGTGCCCGAGCCGTGGAAGGAGGTCGAGATCTAGCCGAGATCTAGCCGAGATCTAGCCGAGATCTAGCCGAGATCTAGCCGAGATGTAGCCGAGATATGCCCGAGCCGTGGAAGGAGGTCGACGACGAGCGAGGGGCACTGCGAGATGCGCCGAGATGCGCCGAGATGCGCCGAGATGCGCCGAGATTGCGCGAGATAGGTCGAGACGAGCGAGGAGTCGTACAAGGAGCTCGCGGAGCGGGTCAAGGTGGGCGACCGGTGCGAGGTGACGCTGGGGGGCAAGCGGGGCGAGGTGCGATACGTGGGCAAGATCCCGGCCATTGCGGCAGGCTGGTGGGTGGGCGTGCAGTACGACGAGCCCGTCGGAAAGGCGCGAGATAAGGGGGGGAGAGAGAGGGAGGGGGGGGGGGGGGGGGTAGCCCCAGTATAGCCCCCCGGAAAAGCCCCAGAATAAGGGGGGATAAAAAGGGAGGGGGGGGGGGGGGTACCCCAAGTTATCCCCCCCCGAAAAGGCCCGAAAATTAGGAAGGGGAAAAGGGGGTGGGGGGGGGGGGGGG